CTCAATGGGCGAGTCTCATTTGGTTGGCCGCAAGGATTCCGCACCGGTGTGGGAGGAGGGGGATATTCTGAAATTTTTGGAATTAGGGTGAAACTCCCCGCTTCGCTGACCACATCCGAACTCAACCCTTTCGTATCCCGCTCGCTGCATCTTAATAATTTTCCCACCTCTTAAATTAGTAGTAGTCATCGTTCCTATGGATGGGCGGACCGTTTCCTTTATCCTCTTCCTCTTTCCTCTTTTCTATGATTGAGCGCTTTTTATGGACAACATGAGGGGTCAGGTACCGGCTTGACGCTGACGCGACTCGCAAGAGCCAGTCCCGCGTCCAGTCGCGCAGCGGCAGCTTAGCAACAGCCTCGGCGTTATTTTAGGGGCGAGTGGGCTCCGTGAAGATGGGGCCACCTTCGGGCTCCCTTCAGGCTCCCAACGTCCTGCTTGTTGGACGAACAGTTTCAGAAAATTACGACCCACTCAAAATTTGTTCCTCAGATACGACCCCCCTTCCCCACCCTACCTACCATATTTCTGAATTTTCCCAACTTCCTACCACTTTTCCGAAGTTTCTTGATATCTACTTTTCTCCAGTTTTTCCCAAAACAAAAGTGGCCATATAGAGAGAGAGGCGACATTTTCCTCAAGGCAAACACCCCCCCCACCCTCGTCCTCCCAACTAAATAACACTCGCCAAGCTGAGCCCGGCGTACATTCTCTAATTTTCCAACGTAGGCTAATGATAGGGTGTCGCGCAAGCTCCTGCCGCTTCACGAAAATTACAGACTACATAGCGCTGGGCAACAAAATGGGCCGGTCGTCCTTCTCGCGAGGTCACGTCTCTAGAAAGAAAAAGTGGTCTTGGTCTATTGGTCTCAGGAAGGGGGGTTATATAAGAAGCAGAGACAGCATAGTTGTGCTGAGTGATCGAAATGATCTCTACGATTGTTTTCTGTCTGCCGGTAAAATTCAGAGAATATATGGCAAAGGATTACTAGCAGCTCAGCAGTTATGACAATCTGTGCTCGAAGTGTGTGATGATGGAGTGGTGTCAGATGCGACCGAGTCTGGCGCGTGCCAGCTCGTTTCCACCAGCATGTGGGAGCGATATGCGCAATTGGTGGGGAAGACGGGATTGGCGTCCGTGGCCAAACGCTAATCCCACCAGCACGTCCGCTAATCGAAGCCGGCAGCAGCCTGGCTTTTTCTCTTTGTGTCGCTAAATTAATGAAATCAAGCGGTTTCAACGTCATCACTTCCGTAGTGTCTATCCTCGTTGACTTGCAGTCTTTTCAAGTGAAGCCTGCTTATCCAATAAACTGATGTAATTATGCAACTCGCTTGATATTCCACTATTATCCTTAATTCTCTCCATATCCATCCAATCTTTCATCTTGACTTTGAACTCACATAGACCAACGTCCAATTCTGTTTTAATTACGCTTCAGCCTGCATCGACACCTGCAGTCTGGTAAGTTTCCTGAGGCCGTTCAAAAACCGGGCTGTGCCGCTTAACAAGGATTAAAGAAAATCTTGGATTGCTATATGTCTTCAACGATTAACCCCGCCGAGCAATAGCTAAGCTCTTTTCTGAGGCCAAATGGCATTCGTATAGCGTTTGCTGCGCCGTCTTCATCCAACATATTGAGCTGTTTACGATTCTTTAGCACGATTTGTTTACTTCGATCCGAGGAGGCCAGCCATCTTCGCCTGCTCCCGACCTCTTCCCTTCTCTAGTCTCCTTCCTTCGCTTTCGATCGGTTTCAGGCGCAGAACCGGATAATCACGCCCCATTGTGCTTAATGTTTATCGCTGTGATAAATTACGGGTTGGGTAGGCCGCTCGCGTCATCGACGAATGTCGAACGCTGCCTTTGAAGTGAAACGCACTGCTGGAAGAGTTTTTTTCAGGCAATTTTCCTCCTTTGAAGCCCACAAAGCGATTTATTGTATAGTTTATCTAAGGAGAAGAAACTCCTTCTGCACCTGATCGCTTTGGGGGTTAGGCCTACACCCCGAAAAAGGTCCGCCCCACCTCCAGGACCTCCCTGATGGATTTTGAGGCGGCTCGCATGAGTTCATGACCGGTGGCGGTTCGGAATAATGGCTCACAACATGGAATATGTCTTCTTTCGCTTCAGTGTATCGCAAGGAATGACGCAACCAAGGGCACAAGCCATCGTTTGTGTGAAACACAAGGGGGGGGGTCGTACTTTTGGCTTGGGGGAGGGGGGGGTCGTATTTGTTGGATTCGACAATTTATTTGATAGTTGGATGTTTCATCTTGTGAAAAGTGGGGGTCGTTATTAACATTTTATGTTTTATTTTTGTTTTATATGCATCTATTATAGCCGCCCTGTACGACGCCGCCGGATATACGTTGCAGAGTTTAGGTTGTACAGTCCCCCCCCCCCCCCCCCCCCGCTCGACAACTTTTTCGCCGACTATATACTCATGGCTCGGCGACTGGCGAAGAAGGTGTCGAAGGGTGGGGGGGGGTCGTACCCCACGCGAAAAAATAGGGGGGGTCGTGGCCTGTACCCCATCAGGAGGGGGGGGGGGTCGTACTCTCACCGACATTTCCTATCCCCATGCTGTACCGCTGTGCGCAAGACCGCAACTTCGCCTGCTTTGAAGTTGTGAGGGAATGCGCACCGCGACTGACAGTGACGCCCATGCGGCTCCTCAGCTACGGCTACGCCAGCTTTCATTTTTAATTGCGCTAAGTTGTGGTTGGGGGTTGTGGTTGCGCTACTGACTCACCATTTCGATATGATGAGAGGGAGCGCCAGCTTGAAAAAACTCGTCTGACGCACGCTTTTTCTTCGCTTACGCGCGTACGTAGCGGGCGGGTTCAGCGCTGGTTTCGGAGTACATGCGGGGCGGATGTGTTCCTGGCCCTCTTTGCTACTTTGGTGATAACGTCAACTGCTTTTCGGTAGTATTTGAGTCCAGCGCCGTGCACTGTCATCACTTTTGAACGCTGGGTGCCTTATATATTATATATCACCGGCGGGGTTCAAAAGCGCCGCCCTTCTTATAAGTGAGTGTGTCGTCCTATGGCTGCTACTACGTTTGTCTGCTCTTTGGCTGCTTTTGTCTGCCTGAGGTTTCCAGCGTAATTCCCCGCCATGGAGAGGCCTCCCATCTGAGGCGTGTTTCTCAATCACGGCGTCCGGCCTGCTGGTTTTATTTGTTTCTTCACGTTAGTGGACGGAGTCAACTACCACGTAGGCTTTTGTTATTTGACCCGTCTAACTACGATATTTTGGACTTCTCACCGCATTGATGTGCGCTTAAGGCTGTGCTTACATAGTTTACATTTCCCTTAATACCTATATCCCGTCGAAACGAGCCGGGCAGAACGCTGAAGTAGAACAGTCGACCAGACATTATCGTGTCCTATCACGTTTTACGAATGTTGATAATTGATAAAGATTTCTGTTAGAACGCCCGGTGAGACTCATTTTCTATTGGCGTTGGCGTCTCAGTAGTGTCTCCAAGTTTTCGAAACTGTAATTTACTCGGTAGCAGCGGTTTGTTTCCTCGGTTCTCGTTCATCGTTTCGGCGGCCGTCAAATTTGCAGTTTTGGGTATGCGGTGGAGAGCAGTTCAGGAGGCTCGTTTTTTGGCCGGGCGGCTCCCACTCATTTAAAGCTATCGCAATGGTTTTGAGAACTGGCGCAAATCCCAGCCTTCAGGTAAGAGCCCGAGCGGTCCGCGATCGAACCAAGCGGTTTCAGGAGGGCCTCGTTCTTGGCGGCGGCCGCTTAACGTCGCATGTAAAGCTATCGCAATGGTGGGAAACTGGCGCATACCCAACCTCCTGTAAAACGCCACAGCGTCCGCATCGAACAAGCGTCTTCATTTGCAAGTCATAGATGCAACTCTTCGTTTTTTCTGACTGAATTCTCGCCGAATGGCATGAAAGCAGCGTTCAAACTTCGCAAACGCAGCGCTTTTCCTAACGCGTCTCATAGAGTCCGGCGCGCAAATGGAAGCGGTCGGCAATCCGTGTTGAGCAACAGCCTTAAGTTAGACCGTCCTCAGTACCAGTTTCCTTCTGCTCTGTAGCCCTCTCCGAGGCAATCTAGGTGAGAAGGAGAGGCATCCTTTGGAATCTCGTGCACCGTCCAGGAGTTTCTATAGTTATAGATAAAGCATCTCAGACTTTCGCGATAGACCCGCTTGCGTCGAGCGGATGTAAGCATACAGATTGGTATTGAGATCGTTGCGCTGACCGCTGCGTTTTGGTAGGGAGTATGAAAGAATCAGGAGGGTAATCGCAGTCGTGGAAGTAGCACATACGCTCCTGTTTAGTCTGTACACTCTAAAGTAACCGGTCGGCGCTGATCGATATCCATGCTGTTTTCTCCTTTAGGAGCACTGAAGCGCGAGGTAGTGCGTCGTTGGCGACCTCACGCCCTAATGCGGTGTAGCCGCACGTGCATCGCGAAGTCTGAACGCGCGAAAATGGAGCATTGTGCATTATGCTCTTGGAAACCTGGCTTCCTTCTTTCCTTCTCTCTCTCTCTGTCTCTCTCTCCCTAATCTCCTCTATTCTCTCTCTCTATAGGTCTGCTCTCTCTGTGAGCCTCTCCTATCTCTATGTTATGTCGGTACGACATACGTAACATTTCGTATAAAATACACACCGACATCGCCTTTGATATGGAAGTGGCCGTGGCTGCGTGTTTCTTTGAACTCAGTAGCGCTGTGATGTAACGAACTGTTTTCATTTTGAGGCAACTGTAATGATGTTCTTATACAGCAGGAGGCAAGTGTGACACTTGTCTCAAATGGAAATATTCCACGAAAAACTTCGTCCAGTTCAAATGAAGTGCGCAGCCACGCCTTCTCCATCTCAAGGACATGGGGTGTACGCGAAATCGTGAACTCGATATCACTTTGATTCCGATGTCAGCCCCTCAATCCTAAATTTTGCAGGTTCACATCTTAAAACCTTGATAATTCGTCACTTCTGAACATTCCTCAGTAATTACTTCGATGCGGGTTAACGTAGCTCGGGTGTGGGAAGATGCGGATTATGCCAAAGTCAAGAATATGTGTAAAAATAATCAAGGATGGCATGAGGTAAGTGATTGAGACGGTTCTATCGAAACCCTACCATATACTAACAAGTATTAAAAAACAGCTTTCTAGGTATACAGAAAGAAAAACATTTCCGTATTCACCCAATCAGTTCCATGCAGTTACTACCAGATGATTAAGGTACGTTTTTACCATGAAAATTAGTTGAAGAATTTCACTTCAATGTCGGGCACTCTGGAGGAGCTGGAGGAGGTATTGAAGCTGCAGGAAGGGGCCATTTCTATCGCGAGAATCTTGAGCTTTACCCAACCAGGCAACGTGGATTGCCACAGGCCAAACGCTGCCAAATAGCGCCGCATTTTCCTGGCAGAGTGGGATTCAGAGCGGGAAGTCTGATCAGTTTCAGAGACTGAAGTGTAGTTTCTGCACGTAATAGCGCTGACACTCGAGCACAAAAACACATTCCGCGCTAATGGTGTGGGTGGAGATAGATGACGCAACGCTCTTCTTCACCGCCTTGGTTGAAGGAGCGCTTTTAAAGGAAAGGCGTAATAGTTTTCTATTCAAACCAGTTTGATTACCGCAGAGGTTTGTGAAAGTGTTTGAATTCAAAGGCAGTGGGCACGAAGGCTGGGGGCGAGCGGTTGCTGTCAGCGGCATCGGTGGAAGGACTGCGAGAAGGCCCCCCATTTACCCCTTCCACCAGTGAGGCCGGCAGCAACCGCCCGCCCCAGTCATCGTGCCCACTGCTCTTAATGTTTTCAACCCTGATGCAAGGCGCACCTGGCATGATTGATGAACACCCACTATCTTCTCTTTTATAATTTGCGCTTCTCGTTCACCCAGGTTTATTGCAGGCAGTAGCGAAGTATCCAGACGTGCCAGCGTGTGTTGCTTACGACGTCCTGCATGATGCGACTTATCGTTCACGTTGGGATCGACATATGGCAGCACAGTGCTACATAGGACGAATAAATCCCAACAATGACATAGGATATTATGCATGTAAGTTCGATATTTAAGAATTCATTTATAAAAACTAGGCGGATGCCTGTTGAAAGGGCGTGACCAAAATTTAGTTGAGAACAGAAAACGCTGGGAAACGTAAGAAATGAACCCACATCTGACATGGAGAGCTCATCTAGTTCATATTTTAATCGCTAGGATGAACGGCTGACAACCAAGCAGTCTGATTATATTACGGTCGGCACTGACGGCCATTGAAAATGCTGTATTCGGTGTGGCAGGAAAACTGGGTACAGCTGCAGCTGCGTTCAGACTTCGTGACGACGCGCGTTGACGCGCTATAACATGCTACAATTGCAACAGCGCTCAAAGGCTATAAAATCATTCGGCGCCGCCCGCTTATGTATTGGGAAACAATGGAGAAACATGGCTCAGTCGCTCTGGTATCGATACGCACTGACCACTATGGCGACGCCAATAGATTCCCCGTCTGCGGCTGCCTCGCGTCTATAGGAGCGCTGTTGCAGCAATTATAGCGCGTCGACGCTCGTTATAGCGCGTCACATTGCCTGAACGGTGAAAGCTGCATTGCAAGCAGCTAGCGATCTTTTCCCCCCATCATACCCATTAGGCAGTCATCCAAGTTCTTCAGAAGATAGATGGATTTTAGTGTCAGCTATGCCTCCAGTCCGAGCTCGTGATTTCGTAATGCAACGTTCATGGCTCGACACCGGTGACGAGAAAATGATTTGCGGACACTCAGTTTGCCATCAGGTGAGTAAACTACAAAATTTTTGATAAAAGCTATTTTTTCAAGTATCTAAAACAGGGGGGAGGGTAAGAGCGAGACTGTGCCATGGCACGGCTACGCTTAGGTCTGCGCTCATAACAGCCCCGCTCGAACACTATATCACTAGATGTTTTGTCTGAAGCCGCGGCAAGTGAAAGAATAGGTGCTTGCCTTGCCTTCAAGAAATGCGCCATGCATTCCTCGCTTTTGCAGAATGGGAGACATATTTGAATGCATACCTGGCCAGTAAGAATCTTGATACATAACCCACCGCGCTCCTTTTTCCTAGTTTTTTTTTTGCCCAGAGTAGTATCTTTAATACTGTTCTAAAGATTCTATTTGTAGGACTACCCTCCGATGAAAGGCTACGTACGAGGAACCGCTCTTACTGTCAGCATACCTTATTCGAGGGCTTGATAGCGATGAAGGCTGCGAAATCACTTACATCAGTCATACAGATCCTAAAGGTAATTTTTTTTCAAATATCCACAGCTTTCAGCTTAGGTTCCAAACGTGTTGTAAGTACGCAGCT